CAGAATCTATTAGATAGGAGTTACTCTGGAGTTTGTTTAGTCAGATTCATCTAAATTTCAGTTGCCAGTTGCTAGACAATTTTCCAGATGCAGAATCTAGAGGAAGTCTTTTCCTAAGAGAATCTTTGTTGTTTGTTTCATGAAAGGGAAAGCAAGCAAATGTCTCTCTCTTTCTCTCTGTCTCTGTCTCTTACTCTTTCTCTCTGTGTGTTTGTGTGTGTGAGATGTATGTGTATTCATGTTTGTGTATGTACACATGGGTACTCACTCAGGTATGTGAAGATCAGAAGTAGACATCAAGTGTCTTCTCTGATTTATTTTTGAGTCAGGGTCTGCATTAGCCAGGGTTCTCTACAGTGGCTGTCTCCTTACAGAAAGGCCAAGGATCTGGTATTTGTCTATTACATGAATCTGGGTGTCTCAGTGGTCTCAATTTGGCACTGGAGTCCCAGAGAAGTTCTCGAGAGCTGCTGGTTTTCAGTCTATACTGGAACCCTGAAGAAGTGGGTTTTAACACCAGCAAAGGGATATCTGGGGAACAGGACAGATGAAATTGCTAACCAAAGTGAGAGAAAGTAGGTAAAAAGCCAAAAGTTTCCTTCTGTATCCTTTTATGTGGGTTGCTACCAGGTGGGTCTTCTGATCTCAAATGATCCCCCGATTCAGGATGTGTCTCCTACTCTTTCTAATCTTACCAAGAAAAACCTTTCACACTTGTGCCCAGATGTCTGCATTTCAGTTCATTCCAGATGTACTGAAGTTGACAGCCAAGGTCCCTTTCAGAACCCCTATCACAGGTCCCTTTACAGAACCTAAAGTGCACTGATTCAACGAGACTATCTAGCTATGGGTTCTAGGATCCAGCCTATCCAAATGATGGGATTACAGGCATGAACCACACCCAGCCCTTACATGGGTTCTGGGGATCTGAATTTGATACTCATGACTATACAGCAAAGATTTTGTCCACTAAGTCATGTCCCCAGCCTCCTAATTACCATTGCTGGTGATACTATTTCTCAAGTGGTTTTGGCATGAATTGGAATAATTATATCCCAATTCAGCCTAATTTGAGATAATGCATCTTTAAGACTTTAAAGGTAATTTTCTTTCAACGAAGGAGTTTATTGGAAGGTAAAAAAAGAACAGGTCTTAGAAAATTGAGAAGGTAAGCTACTGGCTCACAGGTTATGCCTTTGATTTCTCTCAGAGCTATGAGAGTAGAAAAAGCAATAATGAATAGCAATAGTGGAGTCTTCAGAGAAGTCCATGTCAATGTTATGTCTACAGCTCTGTTTAGAGGAAGGTACACCCTAACTTAGCAGCACAATTATATATTACCCGGTAGGTATCACCCTATATTAAAGAACAATGAGTCTGTACCTTATAGAAATAGCTGGTAACTTTTTTTTCTGATTGTGCTAATCAAGCAGCCTGATCTACACTGGTTTTACTGAATAAGCCTCCTTTCATAAGGGCAAGCAGTGGACATTCGGGGGTTGACCACTGGATTTCTATTCTGTTTTCTGGCATCTTGAGAAGACTGGAAAGCTCACTGGTTTTGGAAAAGTTCTATAAGCAAATTCAGTCCATCAAGTTAGATACAACTTTTCTGACTTTGAGAAAGTGGAAATGAATAAGGTTTGTCACAGCAGTGTCCCAGTGCTCATCTTAAGGGAGTGGGTACTTTTATGTCAACTTGATACAAGTTAAAGTCATCAGAGAGGAGGGGACCTGTGGTAGTTTGAAAGAAAATGACCCCCATAGGGAGTGGCAATATTAGGGGGTATGGTATTGTTGGAGTAGGTATGGCTTTGTTGGAGGAAGTGTGCCACTGTGTGGGTGGGCTTTAAATCCCCTATGCTCAAGCTATGCACAGTGTGGCACTCAGTTCACTTTCTATTGCCTGTTTCTCAAGATGTAGAACTCTCAGCTCCTTCTCCAGTATTACGTTTGCCTACATGCCACCACCAGGAAGATGATGGACCAAACCTCTGAACTGTAAGGTAGCTCCAGTTAAATGTTTTCCTTTATGAGTTGTCTTGGTCATGGTGTCTCTTCACAGCAATAGAAACCCTAGGATAGAACCCCAATTAAGGAAATGTCTCCATGAGATAAGGCAACAGGCAAACCAGCAGGGCATTTTCTTAATTAGTGACTGTGGGGGAAGGGCCATCCCATTATGGATGGTGCCATCCTTTTGCTGATGGTCCCAGCTTCTATAAAAAGCAGGCTGAGTAAGCCATGGGGAGCAATCCAGTAAGCAGCACCTTCCATGGCTTCTGTATCAGCTCCAGCCTCCAGGTTCCTGCCCTGCTTGAGTTCCTGTCCTGACTTCCTTTGATGATGAACTATGTGGAAGCATAAGTTGAATAAGTCCTTTCTTCCCCAAGTTGCTGTGGTCATGATGTTTCATCACACACAACAGTAGTAACCTTAACTAAGATGGAGGTAGTGGATAAGAAATTATATTACCTGATCAAGACTTACTATAAAGCTACAGTAGGAAAGCTTAGAGCTAACCACATGGATCAATGGAATAAATAGAATGTTCAAAGCCATAAAGTCAATTTCCAAGGAATTTCATAGAACAAGATAATTTTGATTTTGATATTTTTTCCTTTAACAACTCTAGGCATTAGGCCGCAAATTGCAGAGAGAGATAGTAGATAGATAAATAGATATTATTCTGTTACATCAAATGTTCAGAAATGTAAAAGATAAGACTACAAACATTACTAGAAAATGTGCTTTGTTACTTGCAATAAAAAGGATGATTCTCAAGTACATTTTGGGATCAATAAAAGAAATATAAAATGATTGTATGTTTATAGAAAATTCTAGGAAAGTATATTCTAATTTACAGGTCTATAGAGGGAGAAATGAGGTTTGGGGTATGGTATACATTAGAAAAAAACAACAAATAAACATCTGGGTTATGAGGTTATTATAGATTACAGTTGTGATAGCTTGATGGGTTTATGGATTTTCAAAGTTTATCAACATGTATATTTAGTGAGGACATTTTATTGTATGTAAATTCAACCTCAATAAAGTCATTTTGACAAAATGAACAAAAATAAAAAGCTAAGAAAGTAGACTGTCAATTGTGTTGTAATTTATAAAAAGCAGTGTGAGAGACCTCACCTGGAGAACTTTTTTATTAGGGGGAAGAGAATGAGAAAAGGGGGAGGGGAGAGGGAAACAGGTCTCTGGAGACAGGAGTAGCAGAAGAGAAGAGAGAAGCAGAGGTGTGGGATCAGACAGGTACAGAGGCAGAGAGGGAGGAAAACAGAGAAAGACAGGGACCGAGAGTGATGGAGGATGGGCAGGGACCTTTTAAAGGGGAACATAGTGCGTATTCACAGGTGTTACTCTCAGTGGCTGCAGCTGAGGGTGTATCCTGTCAGAACCCCGAGGACAGGCCAGTGCAGATGCCTGAATACTAACAAATTGGACTTGGAAATGACTTTCCCATAACAGCTGAAGAAGACAGATGACAATAAACCATCCTCCAAGAGTGATGGTCTGCCCATAGAATCCTGTGTACTCACCTTCACTACCAAGGATGACTGATTGTAAACTTGTGCAAATGAGCAAAAAATCCTCACAGAAGCACACCTAAAAGATACATGCCAGGAAGAAGTAAATTGGATGCAGAGGAACACAGTGATGCAGAGTCAAGAAAGATTTAGGTTTCCACAGGACCTTAGAATATGTTCAAGCCTCAACAAAATGATTCATAAAACAATACTATTTGTGATGACTAATTTGGAGTTTGTTTTTTTAATGTAATCACACTAGACAAAAATAGCTTGCATAACACATAGTGCTCAGAGTTAAGATTTTAGAATCCTTGTATTAGAGAAGATACCTTGGTGCTTGATCTTGGCTTTCCTAGTTACACAGCTATGCTTCAAAACAATGAAGGGTGGAAGAGAATTTTTACTTCCTTGGTTTGAAAAGTATAAATATTTGAGAAATCTGCAAAATTAAAACAACAAACAAACAAACAAAAAACAGCAGCGTAAATGTAGCCTAAATGGAATGAAAGTGATGGAGATGAATCCAAACAGCCACAACATAAATGGAAATAAACTTAGTTCAATTAAACATAGGTGTGTTGAGAACATATATCAAAAAAGAGTTAGGATTCAGCTACATGGGTATTTTCTAAAACAAAAGGTAAAGTTATAATGGAATTAAGGCAAAAATTCAAAACAAAACAAAGCTGCTAAATTTATATTAATATACAAAAAAGGTAATTTTAAGTAAAAAGACATGATTTGAAAGGTCCCCAAATGATTTGTTTTCTAAGAGACATATTTGAGATCAGAATTACCTTTTTTTTTCCTTACAAGAAACCAAGAACAAACTGGAAAGGGGTGTAGTGGTGGTTCACCAGCTAAGAACAATAACTGTTCCTGCCAAGGACCTACATGGCAACTAACAACGATCTATAACTCTAGTTCTAGGGGATCCAATACCTTCTTCTGTTTTCTGAGGGTATCAGGCATGGCATGTACCACACAGATACACATACAGACAAAACATTCATATACACAAAATACAAATAAATAAATAAATACATCTAAAAATAGAATAAACTGGGAAAAGAAAAACTTATGGTTGGATGATATCATGCAACATGAGAAAGTACATCACATGGAAAAACTAAAGCATTCTAAATGAATATTCATCTATGAACCCCCCCTCCTCCCCTCTCTTCCTGTTAGCTCTCCATGAAGTCATCATTTTTGCAGCCTGGTGCCTTTCCTCCTGGCTGGCAGCCAGGAGGCCACATGATGCCTAATGTTACTGTAAAAGATGTTAACTAGCAGGAGTTCATAGGGGCTCTGGCAACCTTCTTCAAAAAGTTCAGGAAGCTGAAAGTCCCCAAATGGATGGACACAGTCAAGCTGGCTAAACATAAAGAGCTTGCCCCCTGTGCTGAGAACTGGATCTACACTCAAGCTGCTTCCACAGCATGGCACCTGTACCTCCGAGGTGGTGCCAGGGTTGGCTCCATGACCAAACTCTACAAAGGAGGGCAGAGAAATGGTGTCAGGCTCAGCCGTTTCAGCAGAGGCTCCAAGAGTGTGGACCATCATGTCCTCCAAGCCCTGGAGGGGATGAGGATGGTGGAAAAGGACCAAGATGGGAGCCACGACCTAACACCTCAGGGACAGAGAGATCTGGACAGGATTGCCTGACAGGTGGCAGTTCCCAACAAGAAGTATTATGACAAAGGATGCTGGATTAATACTTACATACATATACACACACACATATATATATTCACATATATAATGTATATACATATGAACATATATATATACATATATACATAAATATATACATACATACATACATACATACATACATACATACATACATTAACTTGGCAATGCTAAGAGCCAAAAAGCACTTGGAACAGTACGAAATTTCCAGTGTCTGGGACTACACTATGACAACCACTTTGAAGAACCCGTGATTTTAGAAAAGTCACACAGAGACACTAGATGCCACCAGGTATAATAATGAAAAGTTAGAAACAGGTTAAGTATTTATCAACATAAAAACGGAGACATACATTTTGGTGTAGGCATACAACACGGGGGGGGGGGGTGGCTGGGGGAGAGGAATTATCTCAGGGTAATTGGTACCCTAGGTTGGATTCTGTTCTGGGCAAAGTTGAGGGAATGGTGTACTAGAAATCTTTGCTTCATACTTTCCCCTGGCGTATAAAATTATTTCAAAATAAAAAATTTACTGTAAATAATAAGGACGACTGGGGCAATTTGCCTCATTATATAAAAATCTTACCGAATTTTGGAAAAGAGGAAATTGCAGATGTATATTAGTCAGTTCTCTATGCCTATTGTGAAATACTTATGACAATTTATATAGACAAAAATTTTACTTTGGGTCATGCTTATACAGGGTGCAGCCCATGGTCACATGACCCCTTGCTTTTAGGCCTCTCTGTGGTGAGGGCATGAGACAGCAAAGACAAACTTTTTACTTCATTGCCAGGAAGGAAAAGAGATAGAGGAAGTGGCTGGTATCCCATAACCCCCTTGTGTGCATACCTGCAATGATCTACTATCTCTCTGGGCCTTTCCTGCTACAGATCCACCCTCAGGACCACACCTAATTTAATGCACATTGTTCTAGGGACTTAAAACTGTAGTATTTCATAATCAGTTACAATCAGTTAGAAGCATTCAATGTTATGTCTTAATTAATGATGAATGGATATGTGCTGTAATCTAAAACATGTATTGTGAAAAGCATCTCAAAGTTCTGAATATCAATCCCATGGTGAAGGTGAAGGGCTGGTTACCAACATTTACAACTTGTTAAACATTGGTGACGTCTAACAGTTTGAGATGGGGTGATGCACTACATACACAGACATGATTACAATGTTCTTCTTTATTATGGAAATAGTTGATAATTTAGAAGTCAGTTTCTTCTAAAGACAAGAGGGAAGGATAAGGGAAAAGGAAAGCAGCACTAAGTATTAAAACCTTATTTTTTTTTATTGAATGAATGAATTTCAACTCTACTCTGTACCTTTCTCATTTCCTTCTGTCTCCCTTAAAACCTTTCTTCACAGCAATCCTCCCTCCTGCTTTCATGTCTTCCTATGTGTGTGGGCCACTGGGTTTAATTTCAATTTCTTGCCTGAGCACATGTGAGAAGCTATTTACCCTGAAAGAAAATGGTACCTCCCCAGGAAAAGGCGGAGCCTTACTGGCCCCTTTCATATCTGTGATGGAATGTTGAGGGGCCTAATCTTTTGTTTTTCAAAACAGGTGTAGCTCTGGTTTCCCTGGAATTCTCATTGTAGATCAGGCTGGCCTCGAACTCACAGAGAGCTGCCTGCCTTCTGGGGTTAAAGGCATGTGCCACCACCTGGAGGGGCCTAATCTTAAACCAATCTTGGGAGGATGAACACAGCTGCAAGGAGTTCATGTGTACGCCAGCTATGCATGTTCAGAGGACTGTTTACTCATATAAGTTCTTTATGTGAGTAGCACCATGTCTTTATTTGTTTTAGGTTCTGTGTATCAAGTGGCTCTTGCTCAGGATACCCTGAGCAGGAATTCGGAAGTGAAGGCATCTACATGATTTGCATCCCTCTGCACTATGAACCTGTCAACCATCTGGATGCTATGGACACCTGTGCTGGGATGATGTATCTAAGTGAACAAAATAAATCATGTAGGAGTGAGTACCACAGAAACTAATTACACTGAACTACAGTTACAAATTGTTAAATAAATTGGAAACATAACAAGATGTACTGTAGACAAAATAATTATCTAAATTAGAAAGTAGTGATCTATGTACATGATATTTGGCTGTGTTTGCCATACATTGTGAGAAAACAACTAGGCATGAGAAACAACTGAGGTCCACTATAGGCAAAGTCCCACATGTGGAGGTGGATTTAAAGGAGTCCACAAGACCCAGATAAATGATTAACAGGCATTTATTAGGGAAGCACTCACAATTATGGTCAATAACAGCCTCAGTCTTCCTGCTCTGGAAGATACATTCTCTGCTCTTCTGGATCTCTGACCACAGCCCAAGAGAGCAAGCCAACCCTTCCTCTTCCTTATGAGGGCTGCACACCCGAAGCCATACCCCTAGGATGCTGCCACCACCTCAAGTTCACTGGCGAAATAAGATGACACACATTAGTATGATTTGTTGCCTAAGTTCAAAGTTAAAGCAAATGCTGTTTCAATTAGAGGTACGTGAGGTAATGACAGCCCATAGTGACAACAGGCTGAGGTGTCCAAAGCAGCCAATTTAAGAGCAAAATTCATTAACTTCAATAATATTGTAATGTTACTTTGAAATAGGGTCTACTGGGCTGCTCAATCTGACCTGAACTCTTCGGCTCACGTGATCTTCCCGCCTCAGCCTCCATACTAGCTGGGACAGCAGGCATGCACCGTCACAGTCAGCCACCATAATATTTTAATACAATGTTTTCTTAAACCAAGGGGGAAAGTAATTTGTGATAGAAAAGGGTTTAAAACTTAAATTAAAACTCGAATGCCCTGGATTTTAACTACAGACTCACAGGAGTCTGCTTGTTAACTGCTTTAGATTAGGTAAGAGAGTCTCACTTTCCTACTTTCACACAGCATGATTTGTCATCAGAATCTGAATTTTATGCTTATACAGGGCAAAGAATACAACTAGTTATTCATGTTTATGTATTATTATATACATTTCTTAAAATGAAGTTTCAAGATCCAAGAAGTGTAATGCCAAAAAATGGTATCTATGGATGGCTATCCTAATTTGATGATGGTAATAATTTCACTGTGCCTACAGGTATCAAATGACATGAAATCATTACATTATACGCTTTGAGTGTATGCAATTTTTACTTGTCAATTATATCCCAATATAACCGGAGAAAAATGAAGTGTCTGAAGTTTTTGGCAGTGGTGACTAACAAAATATATTATGAATGGGAAAGGAAAATTTTACTTAAGAGCATTGTGCTTATAATTTACTTAAGATAAGCCCCCTTAAAATAATTCTGATTATTTCTCTTGTGAGGTAAGATATTCCTTATGCTAATAAATAAGTTCGTTCATGTCCCATAGGAAAGAGGTATACTCATGAGTCTGCTGACAGATTAACGGCATCTTCACCCACTCTTGCTGCTCCCTTAAAAAATAAAAAAATAAAAAATCAGAGACGGATGGCATCATGTGTCTTCATTCTCTGTGGCTGAGCATGCACTCCCGAGAGTCATCCCTAATAAACAAAGCATCTGTTCTATAGTCCGCTGTCCACTGTGCTGAGCAACGACAAACAGATCACTCTATAAGATGCTACGATTACTTATGGAAATTTTGAAGGACTTGATTTATTTTCAATTTGTTCATCCCTTTGTCGCCGCCAGTAGTGAGGCTCCACCTAGGGGCCGTCTCTAAAATTACATACGTATTCATAACAGCTGATCTCATCGCTGTTACACAAATAGGAGAACACTCACCCTGGCTAGTGTCTTGCACGTAAAAATTAGACTTGGTCACTCCCTCTTAGGGACTGAACAGTGTGGCGGTAAACCAGTGCGGGTTGCTGGCCAGGTAAGGATGTGGTTAATGTCTTAGTTCTTGGCCTTGGATCAACCTGCACCAATGCAATCAGGTGACCTTTTAAACAGGTGGTCCCTGCTCAGATGCGGCTGAAAGTGCAGAGGACGAACAGTAAACCTGTGTGTCCCTGGGAACCGTGGGAGAGACCTCATCAAGTGGAACAGAACGATCAAAGGGCAGCCACAGAATCAGAATTTGATTCTTTTTTTTTTTTTTTTTTTTTTTTTTTTTTTTTTTACTAGCTCTGGCTGGTCTCGAACTCACAGAGATCTGCCTGGTCTGCCTCCTGAGTGCTGCGACTAAAGGCGTGCGCCACCACCGCCAGGCCCAGAAATTTGGTTTCTAACGTGTCTTCCGTTTACATTTTGATTATGTGGGTTTCTGGTCTTTCCTCCTTGTTGAGTTGGCGGTGTGATTCTGCACATTAGGTCTCTGCAGCAGTAAGGCAGAGCACTTTGAATTGAACTAGCATCCCAGAGTGTTTTGACTCACACCAAGCGGCCCTCCTTCTCCTAAGTGATGATTTTTACTGGATACGGGAATTGGCAGCAGCAGTTGTTGTGTTAGGAGATTGTCGGATTCCCGGGTTTCTTTATTCTTGTCAGGATAGCAGCATGGCATATTAATGTTTCAGATATTCACATGGCTTTTTCTTAGAAATACCATATGTTCCTGAAGATACTTAATGTGGGGAGACTTGGGGTAAAAGAAGAGAAAGAGGAATTCTTTTTTAAATGCTATTCTAAAATTGCCACATGTAGGGAGGGCATTAGCACTCAACACAAAGCAGAGTGAAACTCTCCCAATTAACTTGCATTGTCAGCCCTCAGTTTTTGTGAGCAGGGTCCAGCTTTCTGCACTCCTTGTTGACAGTTAACTCTGTGCAATCTGGGTTAAATTCTGTCTGAATGAGGATAAAAGTGTAAAAAGCAGATTTCTTCTTGCATATGGCTATCAGAACTAAGCAAGTACTGTCCTCTAAATGACTAGAGCAGGTCAGCACCTAGACAGTATAGGTCTACTGCAGAATCAGAATAAAACCAGATGTGTAGTTATCCAACTAAACATCTAGTACACAACAACAGCAAGTTTAGTTTTGAATGTGTCAGCAGCACACACAGAAACACACACACACATACATATATGTTGCATGTATATATGTATATGTACACATGTGAATGCATGTATATAGATTATATAAATAATGTATATATCTACACATATACATTCATCATAGGTAAAAATTAAAATAATCCTGCTTAAGAGCAAAAAGTCTTATCATAAGTATACAATAAGTATATAATAAAATAAAATGAAAATACATTTACAACGATAGAATGCAACCATATTGCTGCCCTTTTCATCTTCATACCTGACCTGGCAACACCATCTGTTTCACTGTGTACTGCTCTCTTTACCCAAGTAACCATTCTCTTCAAGTATATGTAAGGACTCCTGATGGAAGATGTCATTCTGCAAATATGTTTCTCTTATTGGTTAATGAATAAAGCACTGTTGGCCAATAGGAAAGCAGGATAGGCAGGGCTAGGAGACTAGGAGGAGAGAGAAAGTATTAGGGAGGAGATTGAAGATGGAGGACACAGAGAGAAGAATGCCAGCCCCTCTCTCCAGTAAGATAAGACCACATGGATTAATAGAAATGGGTTAATATTTAAGACAGAGCTAGCTGATAAGAAATTAGTAACTGGCCAAACAGCTCTATATCTAATAAAACATCTCTGTTTGTTAATTGGGGCTGGCGTGGCGGTGGGACCAGACCGGCAGTGAAAATTCTACTCATAAGAGACTCCATTTTCTTTTCTTTCTTTCTTTTTTATATTTTACATTTATGTGTCTACTTTTGGAGCACCCACATGCCATGGTGCATCAATGGAGGTCAGAGGACAGTATGCATGAGTCGGTTCTCTCCTTCCTCTATGAAGGGTTTCAGATGGAACTCAGGTTGTCAGCCTTGACAGCCAGTGCCTCTAGTGACTGCACCACTCAACTGGGATTCTTCAAGTTTTCACTGTAGGCTTTTTTTTTTTTTTTTAAATGTATCCCTAAATCCCTTATTTCAATAGACTTGTATTTATCCTACACTTTATGGATTCTGCCTGTTTCCTTGTCTTAATAAATTCTTCTGAAATACATATGAAAATAAATATCTATTTTTTAAAAGTAATTTAAGAATATTACCTGTATTTAGTCAGAAATTGGTTTTGTTTATGGCATAGAAGCATATAAAATAAAAAACTAAAATCTGGCATTATTTATTAAACTGTCCATTCTTTTATATCAGGATGTTAATTGAAGGTGACCGTTTGAGTAACGTAAGGAATAGCTGAAGCATGGGATGACACTGGGGTGTGTCTGGATGTTCCCAGAGGTGAATCCTGGGCGCCCGATAAGGCAGATCTGCTTCAGTGTGGCCTCGGCCTCTGGTCATCCAGGGCACTGGAGAGGAACAAGTACAGAGAACAGGGAAATTTGCTTATCTATTCTGGAGCTTACAGCACTAGCCTCCTCGCTGGAGTCTCAGGCTTCTGGCTTCAGGCTGACAATAATATCAGCAGCTTTGTTGGTTCAGAGGCCTTTGGAGTTAATGCTGAGCCAAGCTGCTAGCATTCAAGGGGACTTGAGTTCACAGGAGGCCTACAGGGACTTCCAGCCTCTCTACCCATGTGAGTCAATTCCACTAATAAACTCCACTTATGTATGTTAGGTAGCCTATGATTTAACAGCAGCATAATCTTAGTGGGTGACCATTGCATATGTAGTCGTTATTCAGTGTATGGCTGTAATCTATCATATTGATCTGTTTCTCCGGAGTGTGTTGATACCCAAACTACCTTAAGTTGCAGCACTGACTTCCTTCATATGTGAGAGCATTGGTCTCTGGTTTTTGTTTCATCAGTGAGTGTGTTTATCCCCACAAGCAGTCCCATACTAGTGAAAATTTTAAGGAATACTAGAAATATGGTCGACAGCTTCTACCTTAATCTGAACATTTTTTTCCATTAGCATACTGATGCTTCTTTGTTCTCACTGACATTCTTGGCCGTTTTTTCTTTCATATGAATGCTGTTATTAGCTTTTCAGGTTCTACAAAAATAATTCAGCAATCATTTTCTGCAGACTCATTGTCTTTCATTATCATTTTCCCTGAAACATAAGCTGAGTTTATATAGATAAGAGTTAGAGAATTTTAAAGGAGTGTGTGGAAGTAAGAAATAACTCATGTAACATCAAACTTACAAAATTCATTTAGCAGGATCTCATTTTGTTTAAGAAGTGTGAATATCATAGTCTGTGGCAGAGTAGCTAACAATGAATGTTAACCAGGTATGTTCTACCTCATGAGGCTCATTCTGAGAAAAGCTAAGGTTTCAATAAAATCAGAATATGATCAATTACTATTAGTCCTGCTCTGTTATAGATGCTACAGAAAATATGTAAGTAGAATAAATTATGACTTCAGTTTTTCTAACTGTTTTGTTTGTTTGAGACAGGCTCTCACTATGTTGGTACTGGCTGGTCTGGAACTTGCTATTTAGGCCAGGCTGCCTTAAACTTACAGAGATCCTCCTGCCTCTGCCTCCTGAGCACTGAGATTAAAGCTGTGCATCATTACACCCGTCATGACTTCAGTTTCCTAATAATTAGTAGTGATTTGTGAAAATGAGCAACAGTAAAATTCCAAATTTCGAACTTCAAGGGCTCAAATAATGGAAAGGGCATCATGAGTTGACTCTTAAGAAAAACTCTTATTGTGGGATTTCTATCCATTTAGCCAATGACTTTTGGGGCAGCACGCCCAAGGGCGTGGTCTTTGCCTAGTGACAACATCTAAACTCTCTTGTTCGTGCATTCCCTTGGGTGGTCATAGTGCAGCAGGTAGCTTGCTCTTTACCCCTGGACAGAACACTGGATGAAGGTGGCTGGAACAGCCACTCTCAGTGAGTTTACCCCTATTTTATACCTAAGTAAATTCTTGAGAACCTTTAGTAGACTCTGGCGAATTCAAGCTACAAGTCCTAAGTAAATAGGATTTTTGAAAAGTAAAAGGATATAATGTTTCTGGCATGAATTTGACACTCAACAAATACCGATAAATTGAGTGACATCAAAGAATACTTTATATGTGGCTAAAGAGGTATTCACGATGGTCCAGTGGGAAACTCATTGCTATGCTCAATAGGAAGAGTGAATGCATCAAGGAGAAACTAGTCACACAGCAGTTGATTAGTTGAGTCTTAGAATAATAAGATCAAGGGGAATAAATGTCCCAACAACTTGTTCTGCAGAGGGAAAGCTGGAGACTTAACTGGGTAAAGTGCTTGCCTCACATGCACAAAGCCCTGGCTGCTACCCTTGTAAAACAGGGTGTGGTGTCACAAACCTGTTATCCTGCACTAGGAAAAACAGAAACAGAAAGACATTCAGGGTCACCCTAAGCTACACAGCAAATTGGAGCCCAGCCTACCCTGTCTTGAAAAATAAAGCATACATGCTTCATGAAACAGAATTGAGATTAAACCTGGTCCCCACCCTGCTCTCAATCTTTGCTTCCTGACCGCCAAGAGATAAGTAGTCACTGCCATAAGCTCCCATGGTTGCGATGTTCTGCCTCTTCAGCATGGGACCACGACTGTGAACTGAAATTTGTGATCAGGTGCACAGAAAATAGTTCTTCCTGCTGATGATTTATCACAGGTATTTTGTCACAGTGGCAAAAGTTCTGAGTAACCACCAGTCCTTCTATTTTCTAACACGTAAGGACACAGGTTTCCTCCCCCTTTGGAGGATGCCATTTTCACTGGACAGCTGATCCTTCTGCCACCTTGATCTTGGATTCTGCAGCCTCCAGAATGGTAAGAAATAAACTTTGGTTCTTTATAAATTCCCCAGCCTCAGGTATTTTGTCAGAGCAGTGCAAAACAAAGGTAAGGAGAAAGCCAATGAACACAAATCAGTTTGGAACAGTACAAGAATACAGACATTGAAGGCATGAAATGACAACATAGTCGAGACGTCAGCTAAGTTTTCAAAGGTAAAATTGAAGTAGAGACCACAGTCTGTTAATTTAAATAAGACTGTTTGGGTGGGGCATATCTGGGTGGAAAAACAAAAGTCCTGGGCTTTGACTAAATGCAGGATGCTTACCAAATAGGCTTAATTGTGTCCCAAGCTTTGGATGTTTGATAGCAACAGTAGCCAAGACACATTCCTCCAGTATTTCTGAGATGCTCTCGGAAAGAAAGGCCATCCTAAGATGAGTATAGACCATAGGGTCCAGGAGGAAGGCAGAATGCTTCCAACCTCATGCACCCTTCATTTCCATCCTTCTCACCACAAAACTCTAGTGGGAACAGCACCAGGAAAGCCTGGAAGACAGCTCTAGGAGCCCCACCCATGTGTTCTCTAGACTTCCCCGTAAGTTTACAGGGGAGAACTGGATCTCTCACGTTTGTACAGCTCCAATGTACATCCTCAGATGGAGACAATGTCTTACCCCCAAAGAGTGCTTGTAACTGTGGACTGGCATTTCTCCTCATGAGGGTGGTGCCACCCAACAGACACTCACTATGATGGTACCAGGTGCTAAGCAAATACACTGTCCATAGCAACACAAGGGTATCTTTTCTTCCACTGTACTGTTAGTATAGTGGCCCCATTAACAACCTGTGCAGTTTAATTACAAATAATTTATGAGTTTGCTATTAATACTCTTGCTTCTGCAATGTTCAAAGCATTTGGGCAGAGGCAGTGGCTTAATGGGTAAAGTACTTGCTGTGCAAGCAAGCATGAGGACCTGAGTTCATATCCCCAGAACGCATCTAAAAGCCAGACATCATAGCAGAAGCCTGCAACCTCAGTGCCAGAGGGAGGGTGAGAGAGGCAGGGCATAAGGGCTCTCAGGCCAGACACGTGAACTGAGTAAGTCCCAGGTTCAGTGAGATATTCTATCTCTGAAAATATGTGGTAGTCCTAGGGGAAGACACCTGAGGTTGGTCTCTGGCCACAACAAATACACAGGTAAGGGCACATACACACTCTCTCTCTCTCTCTCTCTCTCTCTCTCTCTCTCACACACACACACACACACACACATACACACACACACACACACACACACACTTAAAAATATGTACTTGATAAATGATAAATCACAAAACACATACTCTATTTCCTGAGAATTATTGTTCTAATAAAAGATCACAGACACAGTAAAAGACAGAATTTCCAAATCCAGAAAAGTACAAACCAATTTAAAATGTTCAAAACCTAAAAACTGAATAAAATACAGCATGGTTTTATATTATTAACATTTCTTCTGCCAAGCATAAAGGTCACAGAGAGGCTTAATTGCAGCTGAACTCATGTTTTTTTTAAAAGAGATAAGGACTTTTCTTTTCCATAGCCCAAGAGAATGGAGACTCAACTAGAAATTTAGAGAGTTAAGCATAGCATTCATCAACTACATTCTCCAATGCAGAGGAAAATAACACAAGTCATTCCAAAAGCAGAGATTTCCCTCCCCCCCTCATGCAGAGAGGAAAACAGAAACAAAAACCGATTGTCTTAACTGAATGTATTCCTCCCCTCCTGAGCAGGCTCAAAATCATTTTCTCCTGTTGCAAAAACAAACAAACCAACCAACCAACCAAACAAACAAACAAAAACTATTTATTCCTTGTTTTTATGCCAGGTAAATAATGTGGCATTAACCTAAGTGGAAATTTATGTTCTGATAATTTTCAGAATCAAAAAAAAAAAAAAAAAAAAAAAAAAAAAAAAAAAAAAAAGAAAAAGAAAGAAAGAAAGAAAGAAAGAAACACCAAAATCCAGAACAATAAGAAGATGCGAAACAGGGAGTAGCAGTAGTTCTTGGACAGTCGGGGAGGGGGGAGACGTTTTTGGACAGCACAGCAAGGGCAGCTGACTCTACTCCACCACAGAGGGACAGCAGACTCTACTCCAGTGGTTCTCAACCTGTGTGTCTCCACCCCTTTAGGAGTTGAACAACCCTTTCACAGGGGTCTCATATCAGATATTTGCATTACAGTTCATAACAGTAGCAACATTATAGTTATGAAGTAGCAATGAAAGTAATTTTATGGTTGGGGGGGGGTCACCACAACATGAGGAACTGTATTAAGGGAACATAGCATTAGGAAGGTTGAGAACCACTGATCTAGTCCCTCACATACAAAGCAACATTCTATTAACATCTTGGACATTAAGAAGATTCAGTCCTGTGAAATTCTTGTGTATTTTTTCAGGGATCATTAAACATGATTTTTAAGTTAAATCTCTGTACTAGTTCCTTTTCTGGTGCTGTGATAAAACACTATAACCAAAAGCAACTTAAGGAAAAGTTGACATAACATTTCTCACCGGAAGGAGGAAGGGAGGAAGACAGAAGAGGAGGGAGGAAGAGGGAGGGAGGGTGAGAACAAGTGACCTCCACCCAGTGACATACTTCCTCCAGCAAGGATGCATCTTCTAAAAGGCCCCTAGCCTTCCTGAATAGCATGGCCATCAACTGTGGACAAGTGTTCACACATAGGGGTCTATGGGAACATTCACATTCAGGCCACAGCCCTCACTTAACATGATACTTTGCAGCTCCATCCATTTTTCTTTCTGAAAATTTTGTAACTTCATTTTTTTTCCTTATGGCTGAATAATATCCTATTGTGTATGTGGACCATATTTTCATTATTCATCCATTAGTTGATGAGTATCCAGGCTGATTCTGTGCCCTTGCAGCAGGAAGATGTACAGACACCTATCAGTAGCATAGCGTCCCTTAGGTATATACCGTTGAGTGGTATAGGAACCTGAAGTGATAATAATTTTAGATATTAATATCTTATGTTTATGTTTGCATTTTACAAATAAAGGAAGTTTGGAGTACCTAATAATTTTCTCAAAGTCATACATTTAGTGACTAATCTAGGCTCTGAATCCACGCAGTAAGAAGACAGAGACCAGGACATTAGTGATACACACACACACACACACACACACACACACACACACACACACACTTATATATGATCAAGCCACGAGGAACAAGCCAGGAAGCAGTGTTCATCTGTGGCCTCTGCTTTAGTTTCTGCCACTTGGTTCCTGTCTTGAGTTTTCTGCCTCGACTTCCCTGGATACTTGGGCCACAAATTGTAATAGAAACTAAACACTTTGCTCCCCAAGGTGCTATTGGTTATGGTGATTTTTCAAGACAGTAGAAACCCTAACCAAGACATATATATATGTATATATATATATATATACACATATATATACATATATATGTGTGTGTGTGTGTGTGTGTGTGTGTGACTAATTGTAACATAGCAGATAATAGTAATTTAGAAGTACATAATAATATGCTCTATACAAGACATTATTATTAGTATGTATAAATTTCTAACAAAACAAACTACACATTTGTATTGCTCTGAACCTGTGATAACTTACAGAAACATACATTAAAAACTAATAAAAAGGAGTATTTACAAATAAGGAATAATACTACAGAAATAAATTACAGGAAATAACTAGACCTAATAGAAACAAGAGCATTGTTGGTCAACTTCCCTTTAATCTCAGCTCCTTTTCCACAGTCCTCTTAAGTTCTCCTTTTCTGTGCCTCCCATTTTCACATCTTTATGTAGGTCACTGGCACTCACTCAAACCTTCAGTACCCTGGACTAAACCACCCCTAATTTTTACCTTAACTTCCCTAGACAGGCAGAATCATACTAGTTCAATTTATGTCTTGTCCACAAGTGTTTTGAATGAATAAAAGATGGTTTTAGAAACTGCACACATGAACACACAGGCCCATTCCTTCTACATATCTTGTATGTGAAGGACAATTTAATGTCAGAATGCCAGTGTGGCCATCTTTGGAATGACAATGAAGCAAACCTGAAAATAATTTCTTCAATCGAGTCCAATGTAGTAAAAGCCTTATGGTGGTTTATTTGTATGCATGTTTGCTTTCAAGAATGTAGAGTGGAGAATAACAACAGTTTAAAGTAATTCCAAGATGTTTGAAGGTTTTAATTAGTAGTTTTGCTTTTTAATTGATTAATATGCTCATACACTATTTTAGAATTTAAAAATGTGTGATAATATATTAGTTTATTTTGCATAATGATAATGAAACATCTGAGGCAGGATAATTTTATAAAGTAAAGAAAGAAATCTATTTAACTCACAGTTCTGGAGGCTCAAAGGATGGTCCAGGGAGAAACTCATTATAGACAACATCCCAAGGCTGGGAGCATGTGGAAGTGGAAGAGATTGACACTTGAAAAACAGCCATAAAGCACATCAAGAGTTGAGAGCGCTTTTCTAATAATTCCTTTGGCAACTCAGGAAGTCTCAGAAGAACTGATTAAAAAGGCAGAGTCCCACTGATGCACAAGTCCACATGTAAAAAAAAAATCCTACCACCTTTCTCAGTGCAAGACTGAGGACCAAACTACTAACACATGAACTGCTGAGGAGACTATAAGAAATTCAAATCATCACACACACACACACACACACACACACACACACACACACACTGAGAGAGAGAGAGAGAGAGAGAGAGA